CAGGGAACCCAATGTGGGGCTCGATCCCAGAACGTCAGGCTTGAACCCAGAAACCTGGGATCATGACCCAATCCGAAGGCAGACCCTTAACGACTGAGCCGCCCAGGCGCCCCTAATTATAACTCTTAATATGGCTCCAGACCAGGCCTTAAATTTAGCTCCTTTAAAAAAAAAATTTCAATTTATTTAAATTGAAAAACGAAACAAAAATCCCTCAGAACAGTTCACCCAACTTCTCTAGGACTGCCTTCTGATTTAGCAATGTTACAATGTGATCGCTTTTTTTCCAGAGAAAATTCTGATGAAAGGATGGCTCATATAAAAGGTCAAGCAAAAATGAATGGAAAGAGAGGGAAATGAAATAGGGGTGGGTTTCAGAAGGTATCAGAGTCTTTGGGAGAGACCATACTGGAATTAGAATTTTGCTTCTTAGGCCTCAGCATGTGAATTAAAGAAGCAACCTACTGACTCTAGATTTCTGGAGTTCCTCTTAAATTAATTAATTTACTGATTTTGATAGGTCAAAGTTCCTCCGTGATGGCCATTGTTATTCTAACTCAAAGTTTTTGTCCTTTATCAAAGTAAGCACAAGAGTTAAGATTACAGTGCAGCTTTATATGGGAAGTAAGAGTTCTTCCAAGAGGAGGTTGCAGTTTTGACATAGAAGAACGTAGAAAGACAAAAGAGGCTGCTTAGTAAGAATGTGTGCCTGCAAATGGTATCATGCGTGCCCTTTCTAAGCAAAGGTAAGGAAAGGGCCATGCAATCAATGACCTGACAATGTTTGACCAAGAATACAGACTAAAAGTGACCTTCTTTCACACATTGACAAGACAGAGAGTGCTCTCATGAAAGTTTTGTAGGGGACCCAAAGCTAAGTTTGGCCAATTGCCTTTTCCTGAATTGGACACCAGTCTAATGGATCTCCAGCTACGATCCCTTAGGTCAACTTGGACTGGATTAGTGATTTAGTGGGCCATTCCCTATGAAACACTCCCTTATACATATATCAGAAAAAAGGTATTCCAGAACAAAACAAAAACACATAAAACAAGACTTTAAATATAGACAAACAAAAGCAAAGTTAAAGTGAGCAGCAGGGGAATAAGCAGTTTAATGACGCTTAACAAATAGTTAGCAAATGGTATACCTCCAAAACAAAAGGTCTAATGAACTGTATGAGACCTATGTCTAATTACTCAGTGGTATACCTCCTAAACAAAATGTCTAATGACCTTATACAAAGGCCTAGGTGTAATTATTTACCAGCATGTACACCTGTCAACCAAAATATCTGATTACTTTGTACAAAGACTGATGATTTTATACAAAGACCTACTTGGTTAAAAATCACAGAAGTGGTGAGAACTCATTTGAAACCATTGGAGTTCAACCTGTCATTGGGACTGACTGAGCTGGCAGCAGATATGAAGGACAGAGTTTGGGCACAATGAACCTAGTAAGCATACTTGTTGGTTTTTGGGAAACACAAAATTCAGAGATTGGCATACTTTCCCAGACTTAAGTGGGCTGATATCGCCTATAGAAGCATACTTATTTGTTGACTGCCTGGCGCTCTGGAATGTATTTATGGGGTGTGTCAGTTCCTGGTTGGTTGACCCTCAGAAGTGAGGGTCTATCACTGGCTGGTTGGCTTGTAAGAATGTGTTAGCTGAGGCAAGTTGTCATTGATTGAGCCAATGGGTTTAAACCATGATTATAGAACAATCAAACTTGTCCTAAGAATGTGGCAACTTTTTAATATTCTCACAGTTGATACCAACTATGTGCTTTCATTAAAACATAGTACAAGTTGGAATCTGATATAATACAAAATTACATATTTATTTATATTAATAGATCAGAGTTTTGGAACAAACGAGGTGACTAATAATTGTTTCACAGTGACAAAGTTTGAGAACCATTAGGTTCAAACCACCAGGTTAAGGTATTTTCTAAGAGGCAAAAGCCTTTGTTAGATAAACTTAATTGGTAAATATTTTATTTTTGGAATTAAAATCATTATTATTATTTAAATTCTAGTTAGTTAATATATAAATTCATTATTTTTAATAGTCATTTAGGAAGAAGGAAAATATTTGTCAACATGCTGAGAAAAAGAACAAAAAGGCATAGGAAACACAGAGGGTGTGTGTGTGATGGGGGTGGAGGGAAGGGTTCAGAGAAGCAGGCTGAAATAGGAAATATATCCCCTGTTTGGTGGTTGTACCAAATAGAATCCCAGCATTTTTTTTTTTAAAGATTTTATTTATTTGACAGAGAGAGAGACAGCCAGAGAAGGAACACACAAGCAGGGGAAGCAGGAGAGGGAGAAGCAGGCTTCCTGCAGAGCAGGGACCCTGACGCGAGGCTCCATCCCAGGACCATTACCTGAGCCGAAGGCCGACGCTTAACGACTGAGCCATCCAGGTGCCCCTAGAATCCCAGCATCTTATAATTGGGTGACACCTCAGAGGTCATAAGATCACTCTCCCTTCCAAGTTCAGAAATCTCCTCTCCAGTTTATTTCCAACTTCTGCTTCCATGCTTTTAGTAATGAGGAGTTTACTATACATCACAGGGAAACTCCTTATGTTTTGAATTACTCTGATTTCTTAATGACCTGAGAATTGCTTCCTTCTACTTCTCTTTGCTACTTTTAGTTCTGCATTTTCAAGCCACATAAAATAAGTCTATTTTATTGGACTTTATTGAATCAATATGGCAGCCTTTCAACTATTTGGAGGCAAGTATGTGACAGGATTGTGTTGTAAATTCTCTACTCCTGTATTCAATTGTTCTGTATGTGACAGGGTTCCTGGATTTTTATATGCCCAAGTCCCTCTGATCTAAGTAGGTTTTTATTTGTCAAGGTCTCTCTTGAAATTTAACAACTGAAAGCCGTTTGCCAGGTAACTGCTCTAAGCACTATACATGCATTGTCTCATTTAATTTGCGAAATTATCCCACGAGGGAGTCACTATTTTATAGATGGGGAAAGAAGTTAACTAACCAGAGGCAGAGAGTTTATAAGTAACTTGTCCAAGGTCTTAAAGCTAGCAAATGGAGGAGTCAGAATGCAAACCGAAGCAAATCCAGGAGGTCTCTTTTAACTTCTTTGGTTTCCCACCTGCCGGATTGTAAAGTAAAACAAATCCACCTCCTCATCCCCTTTTCTGGACATTCCACTTCTACCAATAAGATGTTAGGTTTTTTTTTTTTTAGCAGACTCTTGTTGGCTTATCTTGAGCTTGTAATCAGTGGGAACACCTAGGTCTTTTTCACATGATCTGCTGCTAGAATAAGCCTTCGTAATTTTGTGGCCATGCAACTGGATGTTTGGAACTAATTCTGTACTGTATCTTCTCTGTTCAGTTTCAGTTGATTAGCTTCAGGGCGTGCTTCCAACCTGTTGAGTCGTTTTGAATCCTGACTCAGCTCTGCATCAGCAACAGAATTGATATGTATACCTCCTGTCACTTCTCCTAGGTTGATGATAAAATTGCCAAACAGGATAGGGCCAAGGACCATTTCTGTCCCTGTGTGGGGAGAGGGACTTCTATTTGATAACAATCATAGTCTCCCGAGACCACCCCAAAACCTTGATTCTGAAACTATTAAGCAAACCCTTTTTCTTTCCTTTCCTTTAACCCAGGGCTTCTCAACCTCTGCCCTATTGACATTTTGGACTGGAGAATGGTTTGTTGTGGGTGGGTGTCCTGTGCATTCTAAGATGTTTAGCAGCATCCCTGGCTTCTACTCCCTAGATGCTAGTAATAGTGCTCCTCTTCCCCTACCAGACAACCAGAAACATCTCCAGACATTTTCAGATGTCTCCTGGGGGGACAAAATTGCCCCTCCTTCCATGGAGAACCAGTACTCTAATTTCATAAATAGATTACTTGAGCAATCAATATTTAGTAAGGACCTATTATTTGTCCAAGACTTGGTAATTTCTATGAACACTAAAGAGGAAGAGGAAGACAAGGACCTTGATCACAAGAAGTTTACACTCTATCCCTGGAGGGAGAGGACTCAGATGGGTGATAACCAGTCTTTTCTCCTTCTAACCCAGAGCTTCTTACTATGATTTGAGTTGATGGGGAGGAAGGCTGGGTAGAGCTAGAGATCCAATTAGGCATTCTTGGGGACTTGCCTTCTGTCTTCCAAACAGCTAGCTAGTTTTCTTCTTTCCTCTCTCTCTCTTGTTAAAATACAGGAAGAAAGAGGTATCAGTCATAGGAGCCTCGGGTCAGGTGTGAGATGGCAAATAGGTTTTTGCCCTAGAATTAATCAGTATCTGCAATTCGTGTACTGTAGCTCAGAAGTTGATTTATCTTCCGATCTTAAAATGCTAAGCCTGGTGGGATTTAATAAAAGTTTCTCTCCTGTCACCCGTACCATGAAACAAAAACGAATCCTCAACATACTTATAAGCATGTAATATGAATATCAGAGTCCCTGACAGTGACGTAAATGCTGCCTGCCGGTCAGGCAGCTGCTCTTCCCGGTCAGGCAGCTGCTCTTCCCGCAGTGCTCAGCTAAGACCCCCTTGGGCAGCATGCTCACCCTCTCTGCTGTCCACCCCAGGGAAACATGCCCCCCAGGAATCAGATACTGAGACATAGTATAAAACGAGGGTTTTATTTCAAAATGCAAAATGGTGGTCATTGTAATAATAATAATAATAATAATAATAATAATATAAAAAGCATTCCCCGCCTTCCATCCTAGTGCAAAATGGTAGATGCACTCACATAGCTCAAAGATACGTAATTTTGGACATGTCATCCTGCAATGCTGCACAGCAGCAACACTTAATCCCAGACTCCTTTGGTGGATCCGTGTGGTAGTTCAGTTCTGCAAGTCTGTGGCTTCTCAGATCTAAGTCCAAACAACACAGGACTCCTGCTCTCTCCCACTTGAGCCCGACCCTACACGCGCTCTTCTTTCTCGCACTCAGGCTCTCTCTCCACTCCCTCTGCGGGCTCCCAGGGGTCCTAGGAGGCGTGCTGCCGGTTGGAGAGCGCCCGGCTGCAGAGGACGGCCTCCTGCTGCTTGCTTTTCTCCCGCAGGGTCTGGGTCGCGAGGACCTTCCGCTCTCGGGCGGCCAGCAGCTCGGCGACCGCTGCTTCCTCGTCCCGCAGGCGGCTGGCGGCCGTGAAGGGGCTGCACACAGTCTCCATCAGGCCGATCACCACGCCGAAGAAGGCTAGCACGCCGCCCAGCACGTACAGCTTCACCAGCTTCCGACTGGGCCTCCGGGCCATCAGCTCCTTGGCCAGCGGGATCAGCTCCTGCACCGTTTCCATCTCGGGGGCGGGGGTGACCTGTGGGAGGGGCGGCGCAGGAAAGGGGACCGTTCAGCCACGGAAGGATGGCTCCAGCCTGCCCGAGAGCCCCCTCGCTCGGCGGTCCCGCGGGCAGGGGGGCCCGCCCCGCAGCGCTCTCCCCTCGCCGGGGCTCACCTCCAAGGCGCGGCGCGAGCAGGAGGCAGCGCGAGCCGGGGGCGGTGGCGGCGGTGGCGGACAGTGCGTCCGCGGGTCCGGCCGGCCTCTGCGTTCTCCTCCTCCTCCTCGGCAGCCGCGGCTCTTCCAGGTGGAGACTCCGCAGCGGGCACCTTGGACGTGCCCCGGGGCCACTTATATCTTTCCTCCGAGACCCGCCTCCTGGTCTCCCTTGGCCCGGGGCCAGCGCCGCTAGCGCCAGAGGAACTAGGGGGAAGGAGGGGGGACGAGGGGGGAGGGGGAAGGAGAGGGAGGGGCGCGGAAGGACCTAGGTGGAGGCGGCCAGGAGCTGTGCACGCCTGGGCCTTGTGAGCTGGGAGTCCCAGGCAGCGGAGACCGCTGCGGGGGCGCGGGGGGGCGGGGTGCTACCGGGACGCAGGAGGTCCCACGCCGGGTGCGCACACCGGTGAGGACCCGGAGCCCTGGGAGGTATCGCTTACGTTTCCCACGTGACTCTTCCTTAGTGGTGTGGGTGGGTGGCACAGCTTTCCTTGTCTGAGGTGGCCCGTGAGGGACCCCTAATGAGGACATCGCGGGGAGGGGGCGTTCTACCTAACCGGAAAATCTTTAGTTTTTATTCCTAAGGGTTGTCGTCTTCCCACAGGTGTGGGGATCAGACGGGAGAAGACAAGGGGAGAGGGATCCTGGTAAGGAGCAGAACCAGGTCTCCAGGCTCTGCATGTGCTTCTGTTTCTTTCCGGCCTGACTGGTTTTATTTACAGGTGCTTGCCCTGCCAAGGTCACTTGATAGATAACTACTTACTGAGGGTGCCCTTTTGCACAGCTGTGTGTGTGATGCGTCTCTGCACTTGCCCCTGTTTGTATATGTACATCTGGGTATCATTAAATCCCAGTTATCCCCACTCCTACTTGAGAAGTGCGGCTGGGGGCTACGGGGCAGAGGAGATGGAGGGGGACTGTCGATAAATTTCTTCTGCTGGTCTGGAATGCAAATACTTCATGCTCTCAATAATTACTCACCACTTCCCTGGGTCTGGGGTTGCAACACCACTGTGCCATTTCAGCTTATAGAAACAGGGGCAGAAGGGTGAGAATAGAGGGTTTGGGTAAGAGCTAAAGAGAGAACTCTTGGGGCAGGGGGCGCTGGCTGGCTCAGTTGGAAGAGCATGTGACTCTTGATCTGTGGTCCTTAGTTCAAGCCCCACCTTAGGTGTAGAGATTACTTAAGTAAGACTTAAAAAAAAAGCACTCTTGGAAGCAAGGGAGGAGAGAAAGATATATTTTGGCTGGAATTAAACATCATCACCCTGGGGTGGAGGGTGTACTGATTTGGCTTTGGTTATCCATTTACCAGAGTTAGCTAGCAAGGGGGGAAAAGCAGAAGCAAGTGGGCCAAAGGGCTGCCAGCAGTAGAGGGGGAGGAGGGGGAAATCAGACTGTCCAGAAAATTGTAAAGGTCAGTGATGTAATCTTGCAACAGCCTCCTGTGGGGAGGGAGAGGGAAAGGGGCTGTTTCAAAGATCAAATGTTTGAGTCCTTTTCTGGGGGCGGGGGGGCTGAGGCAATTTCCCAGACAATTCAATTAAAAAAGACAACCATAACAACTACCCTTTGCCTTGGCTGTTACCATTTAAGGTAGTAAGATTTGTGTGTGCATGCTGATTGGCAAGGTTAGTTAAGCAGCTGTGGTAAAATTCTGCCTTTTAGCCTCCTTCCAAGCAGTGAAGGTGACACGGGGGCCAAATAAGGGTTATTCCTAGAGGATGGTGAACGCTGCTTATTGTTCTTTTAATGTTAGACAGGAAATTTCTGAAACAAGGGACCAAGTTGAGATTAATATCAATCTTGGCATTTTCTTTCTTTCTTTTTTTAAGATTTTATTTATTTATTTATTTGACAGAGAGAGAGAGAGAGAGAATAAGGGGAGAGGCGCGGGGCACCTGGGTGGCTCAGTTGTTAGGCGTCTGCCTTCGGCTCGGGTCATGATCCCAGAGTCCTGGGATCGAGCCCCGCATCGGGCTCCCTGCTCAGTGGGGAGTCTGCTTCTCCCTCTCTCCCCCACTGCTTATGCTCCCTCTCTCGCTGTCTCTCTCTCTGTCAAATAAATAAATACAACCTTTAAAAAATAAAAAAAAATAATAAAAAAAAGAAGGGGAGACGCGCAGTGAGAGAGGGACAAGCAGACTCCCCGCTGAGCAGGGATCCTGATGGGGGCTCGATTCCAGGACCCTGGGATCATGACCTGAGCCAAAGTCAGACACTTAACCGACTGAGCCACCCAGGTGCCCCAATCTTGGCATTTTCTTGGAATCTTCCTTAAAATTTTGGAGAAGTCTCTAATAACCTGGCAGAAATGATATGTGAACCATCTCAAGATTTGTGAGTGTGTCAAACACTGTGGCTTCTGGAAGAGTGTATGATGTATGCCTTACTATGGGGGCTTTCACCTGGTTCCTTCTCTGAAGGTGAGTCAGCCCAGCTTTGGTTGCAAAACTCCGAAATTGACTCCATCGTAAGCATTTCTGGTATTTCTGTAACTCAAAGACGAAAACCACATGTCTTCCGTGGTCAGCAGACTGCAGTTTATCTGGGGTTCCCCTTTTTGTGGTTTACTGTGGTAGAGCACATTACTACCTGGATGAGTTCCCCTCTTTCTGTCTTTGATAATCTGACTTTGACCCCCAGACCCCACCGGCTTACTGGCTGGGGCTGGGCAGAAAGAGCAGCAGGTGGTATGGATTGGGGGTGCCGGTGCATTTGGTGTTTCTGGTTTAGGTGGTAGCTGGAGCTGAGTAGGAGATGGTGGGAATAGAAGGCTGAGGAATCCAGGATCAACTTATGTTTAGGAATTTCTGGTAGCTCCTCTGTCTAGGTGGGGAAAGAGAACCCAACTTCTAGGGTAGAGGGTTAGGTAAGGCTTGGGAAACTAAGCATGTGATTCAACAGTGCTGATGTCACTTTAGAGATGGAAAGCCTTATGTTACATCATACAGGCCAGACCAGCTGTATGGTGATCAACCATTTCAGTGTGTCTAGGAGGGCTGAGGGGTTTCCCTGAGTGCAGGACTTGCAGGGCTGAAACTGGGACAGCTCTGGGCTAATTGGGATAGTTGGTCAGCCTACCCTTGAATCTATCCTAACATTTAATTGTGCCATTTCTAGGAAGGTAGGAAAGGCCAGTTTAAAATTATTTTGCTTTCCAAATCCCTTTCTCCCAAACATTAAAATTAAAACAAACACCCAGAGCCATCTGCAGAGGAAACAATCACAAAGGGGCAGCAGGTGGTCCTAGGGGTGAGTGCAGAAGAGAGATACAGCTGTCCCCACAACTGTGCCTTAGGGATTGAAGGAACAGGGGACAGAGGCCTTTTGGATGATTGGTTGTAAATGAGCCTCAATTATTAGTAGTAGTATTTTGTTACCAGCTCCTTGCCACCTACCAAAGTCACTGCCCACCCCTGGTATTATAGGAGGCTGAAGGGACAGGATCATCCATCATAGGAGATAGGATAAAATCATTTGTAAATCTTAAACTCCATTTTTTTTTTCCAGTCCTTGAGTTACTTTCATTTCATGTACACTAGTTTTGGAGAGGTTTCTTATCTCTCGAATATCAGTGGATGATTTTTAAATCTACATGTCTAATCTTTGTCTTCCTCTGGTTTTGTAGACTAGAGTTCTAGAGTCTAGACATTTCTGGGTGGATCTTCTGCTTTTATCACAAGCTTAACACACTTTAAATAAGACTCCCCATATTCTCTGTACTCTGACAAACTGAGTCACCTTCTCAGTATCCTTATTGCTAGCAGTGGCATCTCCATTTTATCTATTCTCTGGACTTGAAACACTGTGGCATTTTCTTAGAGAGGCCTTTCCTAACCATTCTATCTTACCATTCCCTACCCAATGCCCTGCTTTATTTTTCTTCATAGCACTAGGACCTGACTTTATTTTTTTATTTTATTTTTTTTCATAGCATCCTATACTTATTTTTTTCTTTAAATTTTTTATTGTTATGTTAATCACCATACATTACATCATTAGTTTTTGATGTAGTGTTCCATGATTCATTGTTTGTGCTTAACACTCAGTGCTCCATGCAGGATGTGCCCTCTTTAATACCCATCACCAGGCTAACCCATCCCCCCACCCCCCTCCCCTCTAGAACCCTCAGTTTGTTTTTCAGAGTCCATCGTCTCTCATGGTTCGTCTCCCCCTCCGACTTACTCCCCTTCATTCTTCCCCTCCTGCTATCTTCTTCTTTTTTTTTTCTTAACATATATTGCATTATTTGTTTCAGAAGTACAGATCTGTGATTCAACAGTCTTGCACAATTCACAGTGCTCCCCATAGCACATACCCTTCCCAATGTCTTATCACCCAGCCACCCCATCCCTCCCACCCCCCACCACTCCAGCAACCCTCAGTTTGTCTCCTGAGATTAAGAATTCCTCATATCAGTGAGGTCATATGATACATGTCTTTCTCTGTTTGACTTATTTCACTCAGCATAACACCCTCCAGTTCCATCCACGTCGTTGCAAATGGCAAGATCTCATTCCTTTTGATGGCTGCGTAATATTCCATTGTATATATATACCACATCTTCTTTATCCATTCATGTGTCGATGGACATCTTGGCTCTTTCTACGGTTTGGCTGTTGTGGACATTGCTGCTATAAACATCGGGGTGCACGTACCCCTTCGGATCCCGACACTTGTATCTTTGTGCACTAGTACCTGACTTCATACTGATGTAACTGTTGCTTTGCTTTTGTGTTATCTTCCTTGTTCATTGGAGGTGGATCAGCTTCATGAGGGCTGGGACTGCATTTTGCTTTTCA